TTCTGGTAATAGATATGGACTGAGTACGTCGCTGACTCTGACCGCCTGAACGGCAGGATGGGGTGCGCTCACTGTGGTCTCCCACTCCAGCTACACCTTTCCCTTTGACATGCCGCTTCAGATCCTCCATCTCCGCCGCCATTCGCCAGATGACAGCGTCTTGGTCCCTCAACTTATTTTCCAGACGTCTGGCGTGTGAGTCTCTCCTCCGTGAATGACCATGACTTCTTCCGCGCTTATCCCGCGCGTCTCCTGACTGTCCTCCGGTGGGCGTCCCTAAGGCCATGGGATGGATGGCGGGAGGGTCTTCTCTCCTTCGGGTGAACTCCGGGGTGGCTCCGTCTATGGCAGACAACGGAAACTCGTCGTTGTTCGCCATGGACGGCGATCAGATGAACTTGGAAGACAAGGTTTTGTCTGTCGAGTTCCCACAGACGGCGCCAATTGTACGGGGATCAAATATTCCGGCAAGCCCGTACTCCTTTCTTCCGAGCTCCGTTTCTGTCCGATCACCTACGAGCAAATAACGGTGAGCTACCCGGCGGTGTGTGGCCGGAAAAACCCTCCGACGATCAAGTTAGCACACACCTTAGGATAGAGAGAAGAGAGAAGAGAGAGAGAGAGAGAGAGAGAGAGAGAGAGAAGGTGTTTGAGTGTAAGAATTCCTTACAAAGTGTTCGTCTGCCATCGTATGGGGGGCGCCAGACATGCTTATATACCCTCTGCGCCCCATATCCACTCCCAGTCATCTCCTGACACGTGGCTCCGCTATCCCATCTGTCAGCATAAACCTTGCTGAACATCATCTAATCTCAACTGCCTGTCTTCTCAGCTGGGGCTCGGCAGCCGAGCTTCTCTATCCATGGCCGTGTTGTGCTTCATACCCAAGCACTTCACTGGCTTAGCCCATGGAGGACCGGGCTAGGCGACATCTCGGCAAAGCCTAGCCCGGGGCACCTCCTGTGGTCGACCTTCCTGCCGATCAAACGATTACCTCGGCTGACCATGCCTTTCCGGGCGCCGGTCACTCAGTTTGACTGGCTCCACCATCGCCTGATCAAGCAGCTCGGTCCAACCGAGCGCTGCCTTGCCGAGCAGCTTCTTTCCAAACTGGGCCACACATACTTGGCCCAACTCCTGCCCGGTCCAACTCCTGGCGGCCCGACTCCAGGCGGATCGCCGGTCATCTCGGCCCGATGCACTATTAGGCTCTCAACCTGCTCGGCCTTTACCTCGGCCCAATTCCAGATCTATAAATCTCCCTCTCAAAGTAGTTAAAGACTTCTTGAACAATTGGACCAACAAAAGACAAGAAAGGTATAGAACAAAATTCTATAATTTTTATATTTTTTTAATTTTATTATTTTGGAATTAGATTTTGACTAGGATTTTAAATAGTTTAGAATTTTAGTCTTTAGGTTTCTTAATTTGTGTTGATTTAAGTTCCTAGTTTTCTATTATCTTAGGTTTCTTAATTTGTGTTGATTTAAATTTCTTAATTTATTTTAGAATTACTTTTCCTACAAGTATTAGGTTTAGTTTATTATAAATATTTAAGTTTTCTAGTTTCCTATTCTCTTAGTTTTCTTAATTTGTGTTGATTTAAATTTCATAATTTATTTTAGAATTACTTTTCTTAAAGTATATAGGTTTAGTTTATTATAAATAAGCCTACAAGTATAGTAATTCATTTATTCAATCATAATATTTTAAAGAGTTTTTTTTCTATCTTCCTTGTGGATTCAAGGGTGTTCTTGTTGATTCAAGAATTCTCGTCTACTAGACAATACATAGTCTCATGTAGATTTATTTCGTTGCGTTAAGTGGTATCAAAGCAATGAGTCATCTGGCTCAATGGCACAAGACAAAGTAGATCATGCAAACCCTACTGGCAGTGATCGTAGGGTCGAGGCCTTATGGTTAGCATATGAGAAACAACAAAAGCAGTTGAACAAAATTCATGATCTACTTATTGGCCTGAATCTCAATGCCAACAACATGCCACCAATGGTTGATAGGGTCTGTGCTGAGGGAGTTCCCCAAGGCCGACCTGTTAACCAGAACAGAGTGTGCACCGAAGGATTCGCCCATGGTCAACCTGTTCAGAATGCTCTTAGACGTCCCTTTCGTTGTCCATCTGATAGTGAGGAGGAGTCTAATACGAGTTTGAACCACTTCCAGCCAACTATCAACCCAGAAAGCAACAATAACAAGGGTTCGATGAGACCGAATGAAGATAGATCTTCCTTAGTTCAATGGAAATCTGCATATTGAGGATTTTTCTTGACTGGCTTTTCTGGCAATGATCCCACCCTACCGCAGCACTTCTTTTTAGTTTGTATGTCACCAATTTTACCATTTTTTATTCTAGAACATCCATCATCTTGAAAAATCGCTCCACCTCTAAAAGCCAGTCAAAAAATCCTCAATATGCAGATTTCCATTCAATTGTGAAGATCTATTTTATTCGGTACTCATTGAACCCTTGTTGTTGTTGCTTTCTGGGTTGATAGTTGGCTGGAAGTGGTTCAAACTCTAGTTCAGACTCCTACCTATCAGATAGACACAACGAAGGGACTCTAGGAGCACTATAAATAGGTTAACCTCAGGCGAATCCTTTGGTGTGCACTTTGTTCTGGTTAATAGGTTGGCCTTGGGCAACTCCCTCAGTACGGACCTTATCAACCACTGGTGGCTTGTTGTTGGCATTGAGATTCAGGCCAATTAGCAGATCACGAATTTCGTTCAACTACTCTTGCTGTTTCTCATATGCTATCCATAAGGCCTCAACTCCATGATCATTGCCAGTAAGGTTTGCATGATCTACTCTGTCTTGTGCCATTGAGCCAGGTGACTCCTTGCTCTGATACCACTTAACGCGACGAAATAAATCACACGAGACTAAATATCTTTATAATAGACGAGAATTCTTGAATCTACAAGAACACCCTTGAATCTACAAGAAGATAGAAAAAAAACTCTTTAAAATATTATTGATTGAATGAATGAATTACATATGCTTGTACGCTTATTTTTAATAAACTACCTAATACTTGTAGGAAAAATAATTCTAAAAAAACTAGAAAGCTTAAATCAATACAAATTTAAGAAACCTAAAGAATAAAAACTAGGAAACTTAAATCAGCACAAATTAGGAAAACAAAGAGACTAAAATTCTAAACTATTTAAAATCCTAGTCAAAATCTAATTCCAAAATAATAAAATTAAGAAATATAAAAATTATAGAATTTTGTTCTACATCTTTCTTGCTTTTGTCGGTCCAATTGTTTAAGAAGTCTTCGGCTATTTGTTTCTACACTCATTCTGAAGTCAGATCTGGAGAAGAAGAGTGATGAGAGAGATTTCTCTGTTTGGTGATGATCGTGGTTTCTGTAGATTGTTTCTGGTTTGAATTTTTTTGTGATGATCTGGCTGCTTCTTTTGTTGATGGATTGATATTTTGTTTTTTTTTTCTATTGTTATGTTGTTGTTTTTGATAGATAGATTTAATTTGGTTTGCTGTTCTTTAATCAATAAACAGATAAAGAATTTTAAGAGTGAATATGTGTTGGGCCTTTAATGGAACAAATAATTCATGTAATCTGTGTAACTTTGTTTGATTGGATCTAATTTGATCCAGGGGTATTGTTTGGATCTTAATATTGTGGTTTGATTGAACATATAATTTCTCTCTTCTCTCTCTAATTTGCTAGATAATTGTTTTTTTGATGCACTGTTTTGTTGTTTTTTTGTATTTAGTGACATAGATAGATGATGGGGAATGAATAGATAAAAAAAAAAAAAATTGAATAGATAATATTTTTCAATAGATATTGTTTTGACAAATAAAACATAGAAAAACTCATAGAATTTGAACAGATAGGTAAAAATTGAACAGATAAAAAAAATTGAACTGAAGTCAACAAAAAGTCAAACAGATAAAAAAAATCAAGGGTGAAATTGGAAATAAAATGTCTTACCAACATTTCATCAAATTATTCACAAAACGTAGACTTTTCACCAACAAAAAATATTCATTAAATCTAATGCCTTAGGCACTCTCTAAGGTGGATTTATCACAATTTTCTTTTTTCTTTTTTTAAAAGGGATTAATATTTTAAATGACAAAAATAAAATAAGAATAATTTTTGAAATAGATTGGATATAAAGCACCAAGGTTGATTCATATCATAAACTAAAAAAATGCCACTCATTAGGGGAAGAAAGCCAAATGTGTATAGGGTATTACATTACTTACGAAGCAAGAATAAACGGATAGAGACTAAAGAAGGCATTAAGGTAAGGTTGATTCAGATGGGGGAAAATGTCGTGTCATCATAGAGTCTGATCGGTAGAAGCAATTTTAGCATTTCAAAAGGCAAATCCAATGCATCCTCAGGTCAATATTTGTCAAGAGATTTGAGAGCTCATGGAGAAGAATTGCGAGTGCGACCTGCAACAACAATCTGGCAAATGAAGCTAATGTGTGTGCCAATATCTTGCAAAAAGGGGCCCTTGGTATGGATGTTGTAAGTGAATATTTGGTAGATGAGCCCTCTGTTTTGGCTATAGCTTTAGAAAGTGACATATTAGGAATTGGTTCCTCTCGTTGTTTTACTCTGTAATTTTTTCTTTCAGCTTCGGCCGGGATTTTACCAACCCCAAAACAACAAAAAATATTGATCGCATAATTTGCCCAACAACAATAGATAGATATGGATAACATACATACAAATTACAATTGACCTCAAAACAAACAACCAAAATGATCATCAATCAACCGCTAACATCAACATCGCTCCGCCATGCTGCAATAGTCCAAAAAAAAGCATAGCAAAACGGCCACCAGATAATATGTACACATATGGGACTCATTGGACCCAACTGAAGCTCGACAGACACGCTCATACTTATCAAATTACGTTTATTAACGCCACCACAACACACACACACACACACAGATTGAAAAAAAAAAAAAAAGAAGAAAAAGGAAGGAGTCGTTAACAATTTAGATCAGAAGAAGTATGTGGATGAAAATGAGGATGAAGAAGAAGAACCGCCAAAGTCAAACCATGATGAGCTTCATCAGCTGGTAGTAGTAGTGGTAGTGAAGATGGTGATGATGATAACCCATCAGAAACTGGCTCCATCCTCCCAAGGAGTGTGCTTTGCTGTTGCAAGAACTCGCTCAAATACGACCCAGACCCAGTCCAGTCCCCACAGAAAACTTGTCTTCACCAAGAAAAAGCATGTCCTCCTTCCATACATCAGCACCATGACCCACCTCGGAAAGTTTGCTGCTGCTGCTGCTGCTGGACGCTCTTTGAACCATCATAATAATAACTCGAAATATCAGGTGGCAATGGTGGCAAGTCCACTTCTATCATCACAGAAGTATTGTTGGTGTTTCAATGACCACCCAGCAGTACCAGTACCAGTACCAGTACCAGTACCAGTACCAGTACCAGTACCAGTACCACCATGCATAATAATACTTTGCTGCTGTTGCTGCTGCTGATGATCACTGTCATCATCATTCACCCTCGTTGAATCCACTCGTCTCCTGGAACTGGGAAATACACTTGAAAAATGACTGACATTGAGAGCCGGTGGTGGTCTTGGTCATGTTCCTCCTGACCAGTTTGAACAAAGTAGAATAATTGATTGTGTTTTTGTTTTGATGCGAATTCACAAGGAAGAGGCCGGCAGAGAAGTCGTGTAGCAATTCATGGTCGAGAGGAAGCTGGCAGGAGGAGGAGGAGGGGGAGGAGGGAATAGGGATGTTGTTGTCGGAGTAGACAAAGTTGGTGCGAGCGAGAGAGCCACGCATGGAGAGGGCGGCAGTGTCATAGGCGAGTGCTGCTTCCTCCTCGCAGTGAAAGTGCCTAGCCATGTGCCTTTCTTTAGTGGATGGATCCCTCTTCCTCTCGCTGTCCATATCCTGCCCCCATGGCCTTCTTCGAAACCCCGATAAACCATTCCTCCTGCACACCAAGAGCTTATCTTCGTGCTGTTCGTCATGCTGCTGCTCTGGATCTTGTTCTTCTGCTCTTTGACCGTACGATGATGGGAGTTTACTTTTTTTGAGTGGTTGATGAATCACATGATTGAGATATAAGTATAGTATATATTTGTTTATATTTATATACAGATAGCTAGGTGGAAAGAACTAGAAAGAGCTTCTCCTTGGTCTCTGCCTTCAATCTTTGTCTCCTGCTCCGCTGATAAGAGTGAGTTTTTCTGACGAGAGGAGAGAATTGTTCCTGCTTGATCAAATTTGTTAGCTCCGAATGCTGCTTTATATTAACTGGATTTCATACTGGAATTCAAAATGGCAACCGTATCCCTATGCCTCAAGTGTCTCTTTTTTCCTAA